CCCCAAAACCCCAAAACCCCAAAACCCCAAAACCCCAATTAGAAAGTTTACAGAAAATACATAGCCATATAAAATTTATCAGAATAATATTGTGGAAAATTTACCTTCAAACATTTACTTGTCATTTTAATTCAATATCTACTTAAGTTTTAAGTTCCTTAATCTTTTATGATAAAATTCTTAGAAAGAACATGAAGTTCTGCTTCCTCGTCAAGATACTTTATTTAATCTTCAATGTTCTCCTACTGTACTTGCATATTGATATGCTCTACCTAGTCCTGCATTGATATCCTTCTTCTCTTTATCATGATATTATTCTAACTCTACTATTTTCTGCTGTACTTGTTGATATTTAGCTTCCTCTACTCTAGTTTCAATCCAATAGCAGCTGTAGAGCAAGAAAGATTGTTTTATGGTTTGATCTTTTCTCTTAGTATCTAATTTGAAAAACAATCACCGCCCCTGCTGTTCGGATCATCTTAGCTATTGTTTATCTACACTGAAATTCTTAAATCTTCTTAGCTCTTATCTTTTTTCTTCATATGCTCAAGTCTATTGTGAGAAATTGGAGTGCAAATATCTAGTGATTTTTCCAATGGTGGTGGCTGATTTCTCATATCAAGCTTTATGTACTTTAAAATGGGTTTTGACATCTATTACTTCGAGTCATTTGATGTTTTGAATTCCAAATTTGCATCTAATAGTAAGTTTTTGAGAGACAGTTTCTTTGATGTTGATGAAATTTAAGGTAATTCTGGTAAAATACTACTATTGCTATTCTTTTTTTAAACATTTTTGAAATCAGTGATTAATTTCTTCTTATCATCATGTTGTTCTTATTACTCATCAATGGATATTTAAAGTTCAATGCTGGGAAAATATGATTGTTAGAGAGCTTGATACTCTGGAGATTGATAGGTGTCAAATTAATATATAAGATCATCATCTGTCTTAATGTCAAAATTTAGATCAAGGTTACGCGGTCTATTACTGTCTTAAACCAAGAGAGGACCTTTCTTCAAATAAAAGTCATTATTCATTACTGATCTATTCGGACTCTACTTTTATGAATGAACATTCTACATTCTTGTCTTAGAATCATAGATTTTAAATTTATTAATAAACTTTGCTACAGTCACAGTCTCATCGAACATAGAGTGCATTTTCTAGCTTTTTATTCTTTACTATGCCAACTTACGATGCATTATTGCACTATCCTAACCCAATTGCTTCAACTCGACCTCTTGGGATGTAGATTAGCATTGCAACTAATTTTTGATCTGAGCGCATTAAACTTTAAGCCTTTTAGCTGGTTACTATTGTAATGCCAACTGTGTAATTCTTTTATTTTTTGTATCTCTTTGGGATTCAAGGAAGTTTTATCTTATTTATTCATAGACTTCATTATTATTTACATGCTCACGTAGAGTTGATTCCTTTATTCTAACTTTTCTTGGGGATTACTGGTATGAGTTTTATTGGGAATACTGCAGAGTATCATAAAAAGTGAAATTCCCCAAAGATGGCATTTGATTAGTAGCATTGACTTGTTCTTTGGTGCCTCCAGCAATATTTTCTTGGTTACGATTATATTTTTTTTGCTTAGGATAATTATTCTGGATTATTAGAGAGCTCTCTAGTTGAGAAAAGGGTGGATCTTAAGAAAGTTTCTTTCTTTATTTTCGTTGTAGTTACATTTTTTATGTAATTGGATCCTCCTCTATATTTTTTCCATTATAAAGCTATCTTGTTGTAAATTACTTACAAATCTGGTATTTAGAGGAGAGCAGCATTTGCGCGTATCGCTATTTCAGTGATCACGAATTCTTGTAATTATTAAATAGTGAATCAATCTTATCTATATTATTTTTAGCTTTAGGTCTGATATTTATTACTTATTTTGTCCTCAATCGATTCAAGATGAGAAGGGCAGATGTTGTTGTGGAAAAAGTTACTCTTATTGGCATTCATCAGGGCAGAGTAATCCATGCTTTTAATAAAATTATTTCTGAATATAATTTTTTTACCATTCTTATTCTAGTTTTAACTTAGTTTCTGGGGTTTTGGGGTTTTGGGG